CATAGAAAAAAATGATCATATTTGGGGTTTCAGAGGTAGGGAGTAGGAAGAAAGAGAATTGGACGAACGTGGTCAAAAGGTACAAATTTCCAGTTGTAAGATAAATAAATATCAGAGATGTAGATTTGGAAAGTTTTTAAGAGGACAGATCCTAAGAGTTCTCACCACAAGGGAAAAAAACAATCTTTTTCTTTCATATCTATATGATTGATATTAATTAAACTTATTGAGGTAATCATTTTAGAATATATGTAAGTCAAATTAGTATGCTGTACAGTGCCTAAGAGTTCAATATTTTGAATTTGCAACAAACAAGCAAGACATAAAATAAATGCATTAGTAAGAAAAACACGAAGACCTTGGGGCGCATGGGTGGCTCAGTTGTTAAGCGTCTGCCTTCAGCTCGGGTCATGGTCCCAGGGTCCTGGGATCAAGCCCCACATCGGGCTCTCTGCTCAGCAGGAAGCCTGCTTCTCCCTCTCCCACTCCCCCTGCTTGTGCTCCGTCTCTGTCACATAAATAAATAAAATCTTTAAAAAAGAAAAAGAAAAAGAAAAATACAAAGATCTCAAAAAATCAGGGCTCAAAGGATTGGCCTTTATAATACACTCACTGAAATCCTGCTTAAAAATATGTATAACAGAAAAATTTTCAACTACATATTATTAATACACAAACGGGCAAAATAAAACCAACATTTTTTTCTAAAGAACGAATGAAAAGTTGGCTTAATTACCTCCATTAAACCAAATTTTTATAATTACTGCTTTGCTATTATATTTGCTTTTCCTGGTGTCTTTATAAGGATCACCAAAGGCATTATGAGTTTATGCAGCTGCTCACATGGTGTTTTTCTTTCTTTTTTTTTTTTTTTTTTAAAGATTTTATGTATTTATCCATAAGAGACAGAGACAGAGAGAGAGGCAGAGGGAGAAGCAGGCTCCCCACTGAGCAGGAAGCCCGATGAGGGACTCGATCCTGGGATCATGACCTGAGCCGAAGGCAGATGCTTAACCATCTGAGCCACCCAGGCGCCCCACATGGTGTTTTTCTTAATCGAAATATAATTCACATGCCATAAAATTCACCATTTATTTATTTATTTATTTATTTTTAAAGTGGGCTCCACACTCAGTGTGGAGCCAACATGGGGCCTGAACTCACAACCCCGAAATCAAGACCTGAGCTGAGATTAAGAGACGCTCAACCTACCGAGCCACCTAGGCGCCCCTAAAATTCACCATTTTAAAGTACACAATTCAATGTTTTACAGTTTATTCGGAATTACAGAAACAAATTTTAAGTAGGAAAATCTCAAAGGGATTCAGACACATTATGGTCAAACTGTTAAAACTCAAAGACAAAGATCATTTTTGAAAGCAATAAGACAGAAATAACTAGTTACATACAAGATACCCTCATTAAGATTTAACAGATGATGTCGCAGAAACCCTGAAGGCTTAGAGGCAGTGGATGACATATCTAAAGTCCTGAAAGAAAAAGACTAAAAACCAAGAATTGTATATCTGGCAAAACTACCCTTCAAAAATGAAGGAGAATTAAGACATTATCAGATTTTTAAAAGCTGAGGGAGCACATCTGCCCTCTAAGAAATGCTAAAAGGAATTCATGTGAAATTAAAGAACTCTGGACAGGAACTCAAAAACAAAAACTAAAGAACACTAGTTGATTACTTCATAAAAGCCAGATTTGCTTTACTGTACTTTTGGTTCAGGTTGTAACTTCCCTCTTCTTCCTATATGATTTAAAAGGCAAACACATAAAACAATAATTATAAATCTATGTTCATAGACATATAACACATAAAGATATAATCTGTGACAATAACAATATAAAGAGAGAGGAAAGGGGCGCCTGGGTGGCTCAGTTGTTAAGCGTCTGCCTTCGGCTCAGGTTCTGATCCCAGGGTCCTGGGATTGAGCCCCGCATTGGGCCCCCTGTTCCGCGGGGAAGTCTGCTTCTCCCGCTCCCACTCCCCCCCTTCTTGTGTTCCCTCTCTCTCTGTGTCTCTCTCTGTCAAATAAATAAATAAAATCTTAAAAAAAAAGAGAGAGAGGAACAAAGAGGTATATATAAGCAGAGTGTTTGTATATTATTGAAACAAAGTTGGTATTATTCAACTAGATTGTTATAATTTTAAGATGTTAACTGTAACCCCCAAGTAACTACTAAATGAGTAACTAAAAAAACTGAAAGGGAATCTGAATGTTATACAACCCCCCCCCCCAAAATCACCTAAATACAAAAAAAGAAAGAAAAGTCAGTCATGGAAGAATTAATTGAGAAACAAAAATATTGTAAGACATACAGAAAAGAAATAGCTATATGGCAGAAGTCAATCCTTCTTTATCGATAATGACATTAAATGTAAATGGATTAAGCTCCATTAAAAAGGGCACTGGCAGATTGGATATAACAAAAATAAAACAAGATCCATCTATACACTATCTATTAGAGACTCTCCAGATACAGGGACACAAAGAGAATGAAAGAAAAAGGATAGAAAAATATATTCTAAGCAAACAGTATAACAATTATAAACATATATACTTCTATATGCAGAGGCCCAAAATGTATGAAGCAAAAACTGACAGAATTGAAGGGAAAAATAGACAGTGCTACAATAATAGTTGACTTCAATACCCTATTTAAAGTAATGGATGAAACAACCAAACATAAGATCAATAAAGAAACAAAGGTTTTGACGAGGTTATAAATCAATTACCACTAATAGGCACATTACCCCCCCTACCCCATAAAAAAGAACAGGCACATACAGAACACTACACTCAACTACAGCAGTAAACACATTCTCTTCAAGTGCACATAGAATATTCTCTGGGATATACCATATGTTAGGCCACAAAGTAAGTCTCAATAAATTAGAAAGATGAAAAATCACACAAGCTTATCTTTTCCAATCACAATGATATGAAACTAGAAATAAGTAATAAAAGGAAAACTGGAAAATTCACAAATACGTGGAAATTAAATAAAACACTTTTAAATAACCAATAGGTCAAAGAAGAAATCATTAAGGGCAATTAAACAGTATATATCTAAGACAAATGAAAACAAAAACACGAAATACCTAATCTTATCAGATGTGGTAAAAGCAGTGCTAAGTGGAAAATCAGAAGCGCAAACACATACATTAAGAACAAAGAGGGGCGCCTGGGTGGCTCAGGTGGTTAAGCGTCTATTCTTAATTTCAGCTCAGGTCATGATTTCAGGGTCCTGGGATCAAGCCCTGTGTGGGGTTCTGAGCTCAGCGGGGCGTCTGCTTCAGGATTCTCACTTTCCCTCTGCCCCTCCCCTTACTCACTCGCTCGTTCTCAAATAAATAAAACTTAAAAAAAAAAAAAAAGGACAAAGAAAGATCTCAAATCAATGACCTAACTGTATACCTTGAGGAACTAGAAAAAGACCACCAACCAACCAAAGCTAGCAGAAAAAAAAAATAAAAGAGATTTTAAATATGCAGACTATAAAACAATAGAGAAAAATCTATAAAGTCAACAAATCTTATATTAATACCATTAATATAACAACTCAGTCAGAAGAGGATGCAACTCTCAATCTCAGGATTATGAGTTCAAGCCCTAAAATTGGGGATAGAGATTACTAAAAAAATAAATAAACTTAGGGGTGCCTGGGTGGCTCAGTTGGTTGAGCATCCAACTTGTGGTTTCAGCTCAGGTCATGATCTCAGGGTTGTGAGAGTGAGCCCTGGTCTATGCCCAATGTGTGGCCTGAACTCATGACCAAGATAAGAGTCACATGCTCTACTGACGGAGCCAGCCAGGTGCCCCATTACTTTTATTATAAAAACTTTTAATTTTTGTTTAGAAAGACCATATAATGATGACAAAATAATAACTATAATCACGTAAAAGTTATTTAAAAAAATTTTTTTAAGAGATTTTATTATTTGAGAGAGAGAGAGCACTTGAGCATGAGCAGGGGGAGAGGCAGAGGGATAAGCAGTCTCCCCAATGAGGACAAAGCCCGATGCAAGGCTTGATCCCAGGACTCTGAGATCATGACCAGAGCCAAAATCAGACACTTAACCAACTGAGCCACCCAGGCACCCCCAAGTTTATTTTTTAATTTTTTAAAAATTTTTAAGTAAGCTCTATGACCAACACGGGGCTTAAACTCAAAACCCCAAGATCAAGTCACGTGCTCCACCAACTGAGCCAGCCAGGTGCCCCAAATTATTTTTTTAAAACATTTTTTAATTTTCAAAGTTTTTCAAAATAATTTTTTGTAATCTCTACACCCAACATGGGTCTCAAACTCACATGCTCTTCCAACTGAACCAGCCAGGTACCCCTGTAAAAGTTATTTGCCCCCTCTGCCCCCAGTTTTTTAAATAATAAATTTTGATTATAATACAATGCTATTTAAGTTTTTTGTTTCTTTCTTTAAGTAAACTCAAGTGGGGCTTGAACTCACAGCCCTGACATCAAGAGTCACATACTCCACCAACCTAGCCAGCCAGGGGCTCCCGCTATGAAAATAATTTTAAGGATAGAAAACAGCTTGGCCTAAAAAATAAACAAAAAAAAAAAAAAAAAAAAGGAAAGAAAACAGCTTGGCCTTAAAAAGACAAAATGGGGGCACCTGGGTGGCTCAGTCAGTTAAGCATCTGCCTTCGGCTCAGGTCATAATCCCAGGGTCCTGGGATCGAGCCCCACATCGGGCTCCACCTGCTCAGAGGGGAACCTGCTTCTCCCTCTCCCTCTGCCGCTCCCCCTGCTTGTGCTCTCTCTCAGATAAATAAAATCTTAAAAAAAAAAAAAACCCGACAAAATGGTATCAGTGTTTGTGTTGGATTGGGTGGATTATAAATTTCCCCAATTTTTTGTAATATGCTTACATTTTATAACAAAAATGAAATGATAGCCTTTCCTCTTAAAATAATTCCATATTAGTGCAATATAGCCACAAAATCAAATGAATAAAGGGCTTATTACCTAAATTAGTGCTTCCGAGCATGCTGACCAGTGCTGGCATAAGCTGAAACTCAAATGTCCTTTGGACTCCACAGTGGCTGCAGGCTGGGAGCTCAGTGACTTCTGATGTAGGGCAGGTCAAAAAAAGTGGTTCTCCACTCCAGGAATACCTAGAGCAAGGAAACAATAGACCCTGAAGAAGGACCATACACAAGTCACATTTCAACATCAGAGACCATGCTTTGCAAACTTTGCTTCCTTCTTGCAGAGTACCAGGAGCAAAACCAGAGAGCAAAGAAAATCCAAAGGCCCAAAACCTAGCAGCCAGCCTGTAGAGCTCAGCAAGACATCTGAAATCTTGTCAATGTTTGATTCAAGGTCTGGATGAAGGCACTAAAGCCAATGTTGACCCGAATCTAACTACAACTGCAACAAAGTCCAGAGAGAGCTCAACCACAGAGTAAGCCGACTTGGATCACCACACTACTGGCCTTAAAGAAGTGACACACCCTTCTAAGGAGTAAATATTTACTTCAGTATCTACCCTTCTTCAACATACAACGGTAAACAATAAAAAGAAATTAGATATACAGAACAGCAGAAAATTATTTATTTGAGAGAGTGTGTGCATAAGCTGGGGTGGGTGGGTGGGGGGCAAAGCAAGAGGGAGAGAGAGAACCAGAACCCTAAGCAGGCTCCACACTCAGCGCAGAGCCCAATGCAGCGCTCAGTCTCATGACCTGAGCCAAAATCAAGAGTCGCACACTTAACTGAGCCACCCAGGTACCCCAAGAGCAGCAGAAAAATTTAAGCCACAAAGAAAGTCAATATAAGAATACCCACAGGGGCGCTGGGGTGGCTCAGTCGGTTAAGCATTTGCCTTCAGCTCAGGTCATGATCTCAGGATCCTGGGATCAAGTCCCTCATTGGGCTCCCTGCTGAGCAGGGAGCCTGCTTTTCCCTCTGCCTACCCCTCCCCCTGCTTGTGCACTCTCTGAAATAAATAAAATCTAAAAAAAAAAAAAAAAAAGAATACCCACAGACAAGATGATGGAGTTACCAGAAAAAGACTTTAAAATGTCACTTGAGGGCGCCTGGGTGGCTCAGTTGGTTGAGCGACTGCCTTCGGCTCGGGTCATGATCCTGGAGTCCCGGGATCGAGTCCCACATCGGGCTCCCTGCTCAGCGGGGAGTCTGCTTCTCCCTCTGACCCTCTTCCCTCTCGTGCTCTCTGGCTCTCATTCTCTCTCTCTCAAATAAATAAATAAAATCTTTAAAAAAAATAAAAAAAACCTAAAATGTCAGTGGAAGGGGGATAAAACAAATTATAAAATATCAATAATAAACATATAGGGGCACCTGGGTGGATCCGTGGGTTAAGCGTCTGCCTTTGGCTCAGGGGCGCCTGGGTGGCTCAGTCGTTAAGCGTCTGCCTTTGGCTCAGGTCAGGGTCCTGGGATTGAGCCCTACACTGGGCTCCTTGCTTAGCAGGGAGCCTGCTTCTCCCTCTCCCTCTGTCTGCTTCTCCCTCTCCCTGCCGCTCCCCGTGCTTGTGCTCTCTCTATCAAATAAATAAATAAAATCTTTAAAATAATAATAATAAACATATAAAAGAATCTAGCAGAAAAGGTATACATGCATAAACAGACGAGGAAGTTAGCACAGAAATGGAAACTGAAAGAGAAATGCTAGAAATGAAAAATGCCGTGGCAGAATAAAGAACTTCATTCAATAAAAGTTAACAGCAGGTAGGAAACAACAAAAAATCTGTGAATCTGAGGAAAATAGAATTTCCAAAACGAAACAAAAAGTGAAAATAATTTAAAAAAAGAAACAGGGTCTTTAAAAACCATGGGACAATTTCAAATTGTATGTTGAAACATACAACTAGAGTCCTAGAAAAAGGAAAGAGGACAGAAGAAATATTTGAAGAGATAATGGCCAAATTTTTCCAAAATTCATGAATAGACATCAATGCGAAAATCCAAAAAGTTCAGCAAATCCCAAGCAGGATATATTAAAACATACAGGGGCACGTGGGTGGCTCAGTCGTTAAGCGGCTGCCTTCGGCTCAGGTCATGACTCCCAGGGTTCTGGGATCGAGCCCCACATCGGGCTCCCTGCTCCGCGGGAAGCCTGCTTCTCCCTCTCCCACTCCCCCTGCTTCTGTTCCCTCTCTCGCTGTGTCTCTCTGTCAAATAAATAAAATCTTTAAAAAAAAAACAAAAACCCATACAGTCACTGAAGGACATAATAGTTTCATTACATAAATATAACAAACATAAGAACAACAATAAGAATTACAGCTAATTTCTAACAGAAACACTAAAGGCAACAAGTCAATGCAACAAAATCTTTCTAGTGTTGAATGGAAAACAAGTAAAAAAGCAAACTGTATAGCCAATAGAAATGTCTATTAAAAGAAATATTAACAAATATATTTGTAGACAAAACCTTTGTGGCTATCTCCAACAAACCCGCACTTTATTTTTATTTTACTTATTTACTTACTTACTTACTTATTTTTAAGTAGGCTCCACGCCCAATGCGAGGCTTGAACTCACAACCCTGCAATCAAGAGCTGAGATCAACAGCCCAACGTTCAACCGCCTGAGCCACCCAGGCGCCCCTAAGCTTGCATTGTAAAAAAAAAACAAAAAAACAAAACCAGAAGTCCTTCAGACTTAAGGGAAATACCAGATGGAAGCTCAGCTTGAAGGAATGTAGAGCACGAAAAGGGTAAAAAAGTGGATACATATAAAAGACCTTCTGATGATTACTTTCATTATTTTTAAAAAGATTTTATTTTTTGTTTTAAGTAATCTCTATACCCAATGCAGGGCTTGAACTCACAACCCTGAGATCAAGAGCTGTGTGCTCTACCGACTGAGCCAGCCAGGCACCCCCAATCATTATTTTTAATTTTATGGTATATATGTTATCCTTAAAAACTACCAATTATTTCAGGGGCGCCAGGGTGGCTCAGTCGTGAAGCGTCTGCCTTCGGCTCGGGTCATGGTCCCAGGGTCCTGGGATCGAGCCCCACATCGGGCTCCCTGCTCCGCGGGAAGCCTGCTTCTCCCTCTCCCACTCCCCCTGCTTGTGTTCCCTCTCTCGCTGTGTCTCTCTCTGTCAAATAAATAAAATCTTTAAAAAATAAAAAATAAAAAAGGATGCAAACCATGTTTAAAAAAAAACTATTGATTATTTCAAACAAAAATAATAATGCATTATGGGATATAAAGCATATAGAGAAGTGAACATGTGAAAACAAGATCACAAAGGGCAGGGGAAAGGTAAACAGGATTCTGTGCTATGGTTCTTAGTTCATAAAGTACCACCTACTGCGTGAAGGCAGACTGCAGTAAGTCAAAGATGCACATTATAATCACTAAAGCAAACCCTGTTTATGGCAACAGAAAAGACATACAATCATAAATTAACAGTATTCAATTCACTGAAAATAAGGTTAAAACAAAAGGGAAAAGAGGGACAAAAAACTAAAAAGGAAAAGAGCCAATACCAGAATGACAAAATTAACCCACCACCACCAATAATTACATTAAATGGACTCAAGACCCTATGTAGAAAGCAAACAGTCTGGATAAAATAAAGGCAAGACCCATATATATATATATATATATATATGTTGTTTAAAAAGTATACTCTATATCACCTCACCCCTGTCAGAATGACAGTTATCAAAAAGACAAAAAATAACAAGTGTTGGCGAGGATGTGGAGAAAAGGGAGCCCTTGTGCACTGTTCGTGGGAGTGGAAATTGGTGCAGCCGCTGTGGCAAACGGTATGGAGGTTCCTCAAAAAATTAGAAACAGAACTACCGTATGATCCAGCAAGCTCTTTTCTGGGTATTTATTCAAAGGAGACAAAAACGCTAACTCAAAAAAGGTAACTACCCTCACGTTCACTGCAGAATTGTGTACAACAGCCAAGACATGTACATAACCCAAGTGTCCATCGACAAATAAATGGAAAAGAAATTGTGATGTGTGTGTGTACGTGTGTGTGTTGTATGTGTGTATTTTTGAGTACATATATATACATACACAACACACAACAGAATACTCAGCCATAAAAAAGGAAATCTTGACATTTGCGACAGCATGGATGGGCCTCAAGGGCATAATGCTAAGTGAAATAAGTCAGACAGAGAAAGACATACTGTGTGAAATCACTTACAGGCAGGACCTAAAAAAAACAAAAAACAAACCAAACTCATAGAGAAGAAATTGGTGGTTTCCAGAGGCAAGGGATCAGGGGTGGGAGAAATAAGTAAACTGTTTTTTTTTCTTTATTACTTTAAATAAATCAAATAACTTAAAAAAAAAAAAACCCAAACACTCTATATTTAAAGGAAGAGGCTGAAAGTAAACAGTATAAAAAAGATCAACCACACAAGATTAAACAAAAGAACGCTAGTGTGGCTATACTGACATGAGATCAAATACAATCCAAGGAAAAAGTATCAACAGAAATAAACAGGAATATTTATTTATAGTTATAACAGGATCAATTCATCAGATAAATAATCCTACAAGCGCATACATCTCAAAACAGTACCAAAAAGCATGAGACAAACTTTGACAGAATTAAAAGAGGACATATCTATAATCATAGCTGAAAGTTTTGACACTCCTCTCCTAGTAACTGATAAGCGAGACAAAAGTGATCAGCAATAGAAACTGGTGTTGCAACAATTGGGTATTCATACAAAAAAAGAACCTTGACCGTCATACATTATATACAAAAATTAACTCAAAATGGATCACAGACCCCTAAATGTAAAAACTAAAACCAAAAACTCCTACAAGAAAACACAGGAAGTCAAACACAATAAATTCTGTTACCTTTGGTTAGAGAGAAATTTCTGAGTAAATAAAAAGTTGAGGGCAGCTGGGTGGCTCAGTTTGTTAAGCCTCTGCCTTCGGCTCAGGTCATGATCCTGGAGTCCCAGCATGAGCCCTGCATCCGGCTCCCAGTTCAACAGGGAATCTGCTTCTCCCTCTCCCTCTGTCCCTCCCCCTGCTCGTGCTCTTTCTCTCTCCCTCTCTCAAATAAATAAAATCTTTTAAAAAAATTAAAAAAAAAATCAAAGTTCTCAATGTACTGAAAAGATATTGTAGAGATTACTTTTAAAAAAAATCATACTAGGGCACCTGGGTGGCTCAGTCAGTTAATCGTCTGCCTTCGGCTCAGGTCATGATCTGAGAGTCCTGGGATCGAGCCCCGCATTGGGCTTCCCTGCTCAGCGGGGAGCCTGTTTCTCCCTCTGCTGCTCCCCCTGCTTGTGCTCTCTCGCTGTCAAATAAATAAAATCTTTAAAAAAAAAAAATCACAGTATATGATCCAAATTATGGGGGGTTTTTTTGTTTTTTTTTTTTTAGTTTTTAAGTAAACTCTACATTCAACATGGGGCTCGAACTCACAACCCCGAGATCAAGCGTTGCATGCTCTACTGACTGAGCCAGCCAGGGGCCCCCCAAATCATGTTTTTTAAAAACACACATTTCCTGAGGAGTCTGGGTGACACAGTTGGTTAAGCATCCAACTCTTGGTTTCGGCTCAGGTCGTGATCTCAGGGTCATGAGATCGAGCCCCGCATAGGGCTCAGTGCTCAGCCTGGAGTCAGCTTGAGATTCTTTCTCCCCCTCCTGGCTCATGCTCTCTCCTTCTCTCTCTAAAATAAATAAATAAAGCTTTAAAAAACAAACAAAAAACCCCACACAACTCCTACCCACGTACATGCGTCCAAATGCATAAAAAATAAGTGAACATAATACACTAAAATCTTAGCCTCTCGGTTTGTGGAATATTAGATTTTGGTTTTCTCATTATATTTCCCAGTATTTTCCAAACTAACATGTATTGCTTTTATAATCAAGAAAAACAATAATAGAAAACGTGCCTCTACCTCAAAATCTGCTCCTGACAAGCAGCAATTCTCTTCATGAATTTGTAAAATATCTTATCTCCACTTTTAATTGTGGTCTTCTCATATTTTTCATCCCCATCACTAGGAAGACTAAAAAACAAAAAGCAGAAAACACTTCTGAGTCTCTATATCCAGAGAATTACAATATTTAGAAGAGCAAACAAGATAATGCACATAACTTAAAAATCATAAATTTAAGCAGCACCTGGGTGGTGCAGTCAGTTAAGGGTTAGACTCTGGGTTTCGGCAAAGGTCGTGGTTTCAGGGTTGTGGGATCAAGCCCCACGTCAGGCTCTGAGCTCAGTGCAGAGTCTGCTTGGGATTCTCTCTCTCCCACTGCCCCTCTCCATTCCACCACACTCACTCTAAAAATAAAGAAATCTTTTTATTTTATTTTTTAAAGATTTTATTTATTCATTTGACAGAGAGAGACACAGCGAGAGAGGGAACACAAGCAAGGGGAGTGGCAGAGGGAGGGGGAGAAGCAGGCTTCCCGCAGAGCAGGGAGCCCGATGAGGGGCTCAATCCCAGGACCCTGGGATCATGACCTGAGCCGAAGGCAGACGCTTAACCATCTGAGCCACCCAGGTGCCCCAAGAAACCTTTTTAAAAAATCGTAAATTTGGGGCGCCTGGGTGGCTCAGTCATTAAGCGTCTGCCTTCGGCTCCGGTCATGATCCCAGGGTTCTCGGATCGAGCCCCACATTGGGCTCCTTGCCCTGCAGGAAGCCTGCTTCTCCCTCTCCCACTGCCCTTGCTTGTGTTCCCTCTCTCGCTGTGTCTCTCTCTGTCAAGTAAATAAATAAAATCTTTAAAAAAGAAACCCATAAATTTAATACCTTGTAATAGCTAACAGTAATCCCCTACACACCCTTCTCCCAAGCCCTGCTCCCTTGCCATTTTCAACTCCGGGATAATTATTTGCAATTTTAAAAGTCTTTATGCCCATTGACTATCTCCATTTCTTTCCCCACTATGGATTATTTTCAACAGCAACCAGTCTGCAAGCAGTCCAGCATTATTCTGAAAAGCTTACAAAGGAAACAGCTCTGGTAAAGAACCAGGTCAGGAAGGGAAAAATGAAGGGGGGGGGGAAATCGGAGACGAACCATGACAGACTATGGACTCTGAGAAACAAACTGAGGGTTCTAGAGGGGAGGGGGGTGGGGGGATGGGTTAGCCTGGTGATGGGTATTAAAAAGGGCGCATACTGAATGGAGCACTGGGTGTTATATGCGAACAATGAATCATGGAACACTACATCAAAAACTAATGATGTAATGTTTGGTGATTAAAATAATAAAAAAAAAGAACCAGGTCATCTCTCCAAATATCCTATCATAATTCTATTATAATAGCAAGAATGATCATGCTTATTTCTTTATAGGGCTTTGGTTTATAAAGCCTTTTAGGACCTATTCTCTCAAGCGACTCCTAAAACCATCGATGAGACAGACAACAGAGGTATCAACACGACTCTCATTTCACTGGTGAGGCTGAGGCTCTGGGCAGGCCTCTGACACCCCAGGCCAGTTCTTGAGACACAGCCAAGAGTCAAAAAACAAATGGCATTTTTCTAACTTACCTGTCTGAGCCAATCATTTAAAGACAGAAAATAAAGTTAGAGATAGTAAACACACGTTCTTCTGTACAAGTTGTCACCCCTAACTTCTTTGCTCATCTTCTTGAGGGTACTTAGAAACAGAGCAGTGTTTTCCAGCTAACTCAAGGGTGGCTGGTAAGATTGCCTTGTCTCTGTTCCCCTTTCTCATCCAAGAGGAGCAAAGCAGAAATGTCCTACACGTACAAGCTCTGCTTGGAAAAGTTTCCCCAAGTACTAGAATCAAACCAAAGGGTACCTACTGTGGCAGCTTCCTGATCAGTCCCCTCTCAGACTCAGCAGCACACATTCTCACCTATGGGAAAGCAACTGTTCCATATCCATTCCTTCTTTCTGTTGATACTCCCTCAGAAGGCTATGAGCATGATCTAGGCTGACGAAGTCCCTGTAATCCTCCTCATCTACAACACAGATGTAGTACGGCAGGAACTGTGGCACCTCAGAAGGCAAGACCATCTCTTCCCCAGGAGAAACAGGAGAAGCAGCGCCCGGGGCAGCATCCTGCAGGTGGAGATTTTGGAGCTGGGCAGTATAGTCTATGTCTCTGGCACTACTGGAATCATTTCCAAAATCCAAGGTAAGCTGTGGTGGTGGCGCCTCCTCACTGTCACTTCCCCAGTCATCTGCACCTTCGCACCAATCCTCAGCTGCAAGGCCATTTTCCTGTTTCTGGAAGAATATTCAGTGAATGAAGCCCAAGCACACTTGAGTGGTCTCACCTATTCCCTTGGCTTGAGCTACCCATTCCTTCACCTTCCCGAGGGAGCCTTCACACAGCACCTTCCCCTCTTGCACATTCTGATTCAACTTCCTGGTCCCAATATGCTCAAAAGCATGCTGGAGGTAATAATAATTCTCTTCCCTTTCCAGGAGCAGCGTGGCAAATGTAGTACAGTGGTTTCTTCAACCATCTATTCCCAACTCTCTCAGTTGTGCTTCATGTGCTACAGAAGCTAGCAGGAGAGAACTACATTTCCCAGACCCCTTAGCAGCTAGGGTTTCAGATATGATCAAGGGCTGGCTAGTCCGGTCCACTAGGGAGACACAAACTTGAAACAGAATGAGGTGGAAAGAGAGGCCATGAAGCAAAAGTGATATAAAGCAAGGACCTGGAGCCAAAAGATCTAACAAGGGCAGCTTCCCCTTCACCAGATCACATCTCAGCTTTCTGACTGCAGGTGGGGTAGGTGGTATAACAGCTCCTTGACAGGCCAGTTCTGAGGTGTGGTTCATTCCTGGAGTGGCCCCCTCCAAACTATCCAGTGATAGTAAAAACCTAATTCTGTCTCGGCTTTAAAAAGTCAGTGTTTTTCTATTACCTGCAACCCAACCCTGACAAATATAGGCAGACACCATCGGTTTCATCGTTTCATTCCTGGTACTGCCAGTACCATGCCTGGCACACGTTTAGAACTCAGTGTATAGGGCGCCTGGGTGGCTCAGTTGGTTAAGCGACTGCCTTCGGCTCAGGTCGTGATCCTGGAGCACGGGATCGAGTCCCGCAGGGAGTCTGCTTCTCCCTCTGATCCTCCCCCCTCTCATGTGCTCTCTCTCTCTCTCTCTCTCGCTCTCTCAAATGAATAAATAAGTAAAATCTTAAAAAAAAAAGAAAAAAAGAACTCAGTGTATATACATACATAAGCGGACATTTACAGGCAAAAGGAGACTGAATTTTGTTCTGCAGCTACCAACTTGCCCAACCTTTTAATTCAATAAATTCAAATTTTTTTGATTGTTTGCTATATACACGAACAGGTATCACAGGAACTGTATTTACTATAAACACATAAATGTATTACACACAACCACATATATGTACCTATCCATATTTTTTTCCCCAAACAGAAACAGCGAATTATGTGCCTCAAGGCCTCCAGTGTATATTAAAAGAAAAAACGAACAAAACCTTAAGGAGATAGCACTTCACAGTTCAGAAAAGTGCAAAAACCATTCCAACGTACTTCAAAAGGCCACGGCTGAAAGTTTATCTTAAACGATATTCTAGAAAATACCCTCAAATTACAGCAAGTCATAATATGCTAATCACAACCGGTTTACCTGAGCGTCCTGCGCCTCTCTCTCTCGCATCTGCAGGCACTGGGAACGAAACACCTTCCAGCTTCGGGGTTAAAAAATAAATGGCAGTGAGGCTCCAAAGCTGACCACCAGCCAGCGGGCCAGCCCTATCCGGTATGGCCGGTGCGGCCCCCAGCTCCCGCCCACTCGGCATAAAACCCCGAGGCAGCTCGGCACTTCCCCGCCTACCTGCGCGTCCCGCCGCTGCCGCACCTGGGAAGGGGGCAAGCGAACACGTGCAGTAGCCGGTGAAACGGGGAGCCTTCCAGCGGACAGTACACCTGCACGACCAGGGCGAGAGGCTGCCTGCAACGTTCACACACTGGCCTCGGCGCTGCTACCGCCGGCAGGGCGTCCTGAGGGCAGGGAAGCGCTCAGACTCCGGCTCTGCTCAGGGACCTCGCCCCCTCCCTCAGCCCGCAGCCCTCACCAGTACCCGCCGACCCCGGCCCTGGCGCTCCACCTCACCGGAAGGCCGCCCAGCTTGCTAGCAGTCCAGGCGCCCGGCCCCGTGGGGCGGCCGTGCACTGCAGTGTCTCGAAGTCCGAGCAGCACTGGCTTCCGAAAAGCCGCCATGACGACGAGGCACCCACGTGGAAAAGAGAACTACGGTGGCCGAGGCGGTGCGCCTCTCCGCGCACGCGCACCGGCTACACCTGCGAGACGGCCCCGCCCCCTTGAGATTATGCTTGGGAGGATTAGGTCCCCTGAGCTGAGCGGGGCTCAAAATCCGGCAGCCCCAGACATTCTGTGCCTCCGAATGCGCCGAGGTAGGAAGTACGCACCATCTGGTATGAAGTAGTCTTGCCAAAAGATTTTTCCTGAAGTGGAATAATAGTATTATCGTTAAGACAAAAAAAAGTTTTGATTTTTACAGGTACACGTCAAAATACTTACAGAGGAAATTGCGGAGGGGGCCAAGAGTTGATAACTTGAAATTTGGCGTCAGACACAGAGGTCCTTGACTTTTATATATTTGAGATTTTCCATAAGGGAATTTTTTTTTTTTTAAATGCCTGTGGCACAACCTAGGTGAATTTTGAAAACAAACAAAAGGCCAAGTTCTGGAAAAGGCGAACTTCAAAGAAAGAAATCAGATCAATTGTTGTCAGGGTTTGGGTTCAGAGGGTAGGGATTGACCACAAAGGGGTGCCAGGAATCTACCTCTTCAGGTGATGAAAATGCTGTATATCTCAACTGTGGTGGTTATGTGACTTAGACATTTGTCAAAACTCAAAACCGTACCCCATAAGAAGGTGCGTTTTTCTGTATGTAAATTATACCTCAACCTGATTTTTTAAAAAATGCAGATTTCGGGGCGCCTGGGTGGCTCAGTCGTTGAGCGTCTGCCTTCGGCTCAGGTCATGATCCCGGGGTCCTGGGATCGAGCCCCGCATCGGGCTCCCTGCTCTGCGGGAGGCCTGCTTCTCCCTCTCCCCTTCCCCCTGCTTGTGTTCCCTCTCTCGCTGTCTCTCTCTGTGGTCCGATAAATAAAATCTTAAAAAAAAAAAATGCAGATTTCAAAGGCACTCTCGCAGTCTTCATACTATAGTGTGGAAAGGTACTATAGTGTGCAAAGGAAGTATATGTTTTCAAGGACTGACACCTTCAAGCAGGATATAAATGCCTCATGATGTTTGGCTCCAGCCCCAGCACAGACCTGGAGATGAAACCAGTTTGCTACTGGTTTATCACTGCCAATCTGCTTTAAAAGCTTTAGAAGGCACTGTGAAGTCTGACCTTGGTGTTCATTTCAGGTCTAGCCAAAGAGGCTGGATGAGTTGGCAGATACTTGTTATTTTAGCTATGTTTCCCAAAATATGTATTTTTGGTTATGGCAAAAAGAAACAAACTTCAAAACTGGTATTCTTGCTACCACAGCAGGACACCTTCCAGCAGTTACTGAGCTTTCTCCATCATCAGTCACCGGTTTATATAACACTACTGACTACAACCACTTGATCAAACTGTGATCACAGATGAAGGCTTATTACTTAAGATGAATTTTCAAGATGTTAATTGCTGCCCCATTCTGGAATTCCAGAGACAATATAACATCAAATTTGAAACTGATGTTATTGGGGCACCTGGGTGACTCAGTCGTTGGGCGCCTGCCTTCGGCTTAGGTCATGATCCCAGGGTCCTGGGATCGAGCCCCACATCGGGCTCCCTGCTCTGCGGGAAGCCTGCTTCTCCCTCTCCCATTCCCCCTGCTTGTGTTCCCTCTCTTGCTGTGTCTGTCAAATAAAAATCTTAAAAAGAAAAAAAGAAACTGACGTTATTGTGGGGTCCTTGGAACAGTGTTAACAGAAAGGTCTTGGCATGTGTGAGATTTGAAGCATTCCACTTAATGATTTTATAGGGTTTGGACTTCCCTGGCAGTCACACAAATCAAGTTGATAGTATTTATGTATGCGTGTATTCTCTGTCCCCAAGGTGGGGCTTGAACTCATGACCCAGAGATCAAGCGTCGCGTGCTCCAGTGACCTAGCCAGCAAGGTGCTCCCAGTTTGTGTTTATTTGAGCAAGTACAGTATGAAGACTTTGAAGGCTGCTTGAATCTCACTGTAGAGTTCTTCATGACAGTTAATTTTACCAACTTAACTGGGCTAGGAGGTGCCCAGATAGCTGGTAAAACATTATTTCTGGGATTGTCTGTGAGGGTGTTTCCAAAAAAGAATAGCATTTGCATCAGTAGACTGAGTAAAGATCTGCCCTCACCGGTGTGAGTGGGCATCACCCAGTCTGTTGAGGGCCCTAAGAGAACAAAAAGGTAGAGGAAGGGTGAATTCTCTTTCTTCTTCAGCTGGGACATCCATCTTCTCCTGCCCTCAGACTGAAACCTACCTGCCCTGGTTTCCCTGGTTCTCCAGCTTGTGGTAAACAGCATATTGTGGGACTTCTCAGCCTCCATAATCAGGTTTGCCAATTCTTGTAATACATCTCCTCACATATATCTGCATCCTACTGGTGATATTTCTCTGGAGAACCCTAAATAATACACTGTTCAAGAACTCACAATCACTGGTAGCCATAGGACAAGGGGAAGCCACAAGGGAGGACACTGGTGGTGGGGGGGGGGGAGGAGAGCAAGGCAGGGCCAAGGGACATGTGGCCATCTTAACTGACATGTGCAAGTTCCTTCTGCATAAAGCATGACAGGAGACTTGACGGCTGGCCTAGAGGAGCAGTAGTCCCACTCCTAAGAGATCCTTCATGTGAAGCCAAGTTAGCCTGAGGGGCTCTGCCACCTAGAATTTTTCTCTCTACAGACTTTTTTTTTGTGTGTGCTTGCTCTCTTGTAATAGAGATGCCTCTGATGGGAAAAGACCTTCCCATTTCATCAGTTATGTTAAGAAAGCAGGTGGGTTGGGATGCCTGAGTGGCACAGTCAGTTAAGCATCTGACTCTTGGTTTTGGCTCAGGTTGCGATCTCAGGGTTATGAAGTCAAGTCCTGCGTTGGGCTCCGTGCTCAGCACAGAGTCTGCTTGAGTCTCTCTCCCTCCCTCCTGCTCTCTCTCTCAAATAAACAAATCTTAAAAAAAAAAAAAAAAAACACAAAAAAACTAAAGGAGGTCGGTTACCAGGAGCCTCAACAGAGCCTGACTGTCAAAAAACATCTTTACATCACCTCTACCGAAGTGGGAAGTGGGCATTCACTTTTGGAATTTAAAAAAAGCAAAACAAACAATAGAGAAATGCTAACAATTTCTGAGTATCATTTTAAGCAGACATTTGCACCTGTATGGTCACTTTCTGTAAGTAGGACATTCCTCCCTTTGAACCTCCATGGGTGCAGTTTGCCTTCTCCTTATGGGAGCAAAAAATACAAATCCTGGCTTTTCTTGTCTTGAGGACGGCACATGACCAAGCCAGAGTACAACCCATAAGTGGGCGACCCAGGAGAGAATGGGGTGAAGGCAGCTGTGACGACAGGGTCGGGGACAGCAGGGCTTTGTGAAAGGGGAGCAGTCTTCCTGTCCAAATTCTGTATCGTGATCTAGGGTGTAGATCCTGGAAGCTCAGCCTCTAGTCTACCCGTCCATTCTGCTCATTGACTTTTTTAAATAAAATTCCCTTTCTGGGTAGTTGGCCAAAAATATTACTTGGTATCTTGAATAGAAGATAAAAGGGCGGTTTGTTCAAAATCCTTTTTTTCAATGTCTGTCTTATAAAAGGAAAGCAGTACCTGAGCATCTGGCCGGAAGATGAGCGTCACCCTTGACCCAGACTGGGTATTCACCCAAAATAGACAATCTAATGCAGCTTTTTAGAACTATCCGGTGAACAAAAGTATGCAATTCCTCCAAAGTCACAGAGGTAAGGAGTGAACAAAGGAGAAGGAATTTGCTTACAGAAGCCAAGTTGCCCCCGTGACACTGTGCCCCAACCCCCTCCTCCACTCTCTTCTCAAGGGACCGTCCTCCACTCTGGACCTACTCACCACTTGCAGCCAAGCCTCAATCAAGCAAGGCACATCACTCCTACTGAGCACCTAACTCCTGTGTGTAGCACCACTTCTGGAGATGAGAAGAGGCTGAGCCTACAACCTCCTTTGTGGCATCTTTATTTTTCTATCTGGTACATGAACAAAGTGAACATGGTCAGAAAAATCAGCTGCACCGAAACACTTCAGCCGGTTGTAAAACAGAGGGCACGTGGACGTGGAAGGGCGGGGTGGCAATTCCAGACTAGCTTCCCCCAAAGGGCTTATGCTTCAAGCCCGCAACCAGAGGCTGCTCTGGGCAGGACTGTGCAGTGCATCTCTGGGGAGGAGCGACAAGAAGGACCAGTCACAACAGGGACTGCAGCCGGGCATGAGTTTATTGGCTTCTGGCCTCACGCTCCTGCTTGATGAAGTTGATGAGCCCATTGGTGGAAGAGTCGTGAGAGGTCACTGGGCTACTGCCGTCAAGCTCAGGCTCGATTTTCTTGGCCAGCTGCTTTCCCAGCTCCACCCTGCCAGGACAAGGAGAAAGATGGTTAAGAGGATGTTCCAGCATCACGAGTGAAATCCACAAGCCAACCCACAGGCATTCCCTCCCCTCCCCTTGAGGAGCAGCAACTCACCCCCACTGGTCAAAGCTGTTGATGTCCCAGATGATACCCTGAACGAAGATCTTGTGCTCGTACATGGCTGTAGGGGTGGCAGATGGGGCACATTAGGGCTCGACCGGCTTTATCCAACCTACCCCAGGCCAGGACCTTCCCCGCTCACTCACCAATCAAGGCTCCCAGAATGAATGGTGTGAGCTTGGTGAACACAATAGAGTTGGTTGGCCGATTTCCTTCAAAGACCTTTAGAAAACACCCAGGAATGTCCCCCGGTTAGTCATCACCCCCAAATCCTCAGAAGGGATGTGCACCCTACCCCAGAGGCTGGGATATGCCTATCTGTAAGGACAGTCCCTCCTACTGGGTAGGACAAGCCAGGCACGCCATGAATCCCTACCCAGACCCCACAACTTTATCCTTCTGACTCCAGGATGCCAGCCAAAGCCCACTTCAGGAGAGGTGCTGACCTTGTGTGGCAACAGCTTCTCCAAGGCCTCTGGACTCTTCCCTGCGGCCTGCAGCT